GTAGCCAAGTTCAGGATTCCCTGCCAGCCCGCTTCCCGGAGATGCATCTGCCTTGGCTCTCTGGGGCCCCGACGTCCTCCACCTACCTGCGCTCTGAGCCCGCTCAACCGCTCTAGGGCCTCAGGCGACCGGAACGCCCACCCCGCTGCCCCCTCTGGGCTCCCTCTCGGATCCCCGCGGTGCTGCGGGAGTCTGCGGGCACTGGTTAGCGGGGGGCAGGAGAAAGCATGGGCGCCTTGGGAAAGGATTTAGCGTCAGGTCTCGGCGAGCTGGTACGAAAGGGTGAGGATGGTGTTTTTCTTTGCCCTCAACTCTACAAAAGTGGGTCAGATCTCCGAGCCTCAGCTTGAGGACCCCCGTGCTTTTCCTTGCAGTCCTGAGGCCGCCTTGGTCCCGGAGGAACCAAGGGCACGAGCCCGGGGCCCTCTCCTCTCGCCTGCACATCCCTCCACTAATGAGCACATGGGGACCCACCCTCGCTCCCTCCGCCCCCCCCCCCGGCTTTCCTCTGCAGTGCTCACCCCGTAAGCCGCCCCCGCGGCGGGGTTGGGGGCGCAGCCCCGGGCCGCTGGAGGGTTCCGAGGCGCGGGAGGGCCGGGGCGGCCCGGGCCCGGGCTGCGGGTTGCTGCTGGCCCGAGGGACTGCTTCTCCAGGTCTGCGCAGGTGGCTGGGCTCGCCGCGGCTGCTGCGCGCGGGGCGGCCTCCTGGCCAGCGCGTCGGCGGGCCTCCGGGGGCTCCCCCAGCCGGGTTGGGCCCGCTCCGTGGGCGGCAAGCCCGGGACTGGCGCGTCCTGCTCTCGGAACAGACTGTACACCTTGGCTGCAGACGCTGCGGGGTGACTGCCCCCGGGGCGCCGCAGCCGATTCGCGTCCCTGCCAGCCAGCTCGTATCTTCCCACCGTGTCCCTCTGAGCATGGCCCATGCCCACGAAGACAGCCAGCGTGAGGGCCAGGAGGCCCCCGCAGGGGTTGTGCAGGGCGCGCCCGGGGCAGCGGTGGGTGGTCGGGGGCCTCATGGCGCCGGGGGCGACTGGAGAGCGCTGAGCGGGGGGAACCGCCCCGGGGGCTTGCGGCGGCCGCGCTCCGCTCCCCGGCCGGCGGCCCGCTTCTCCCGGTCTAGGGGCTCCAAGCCAGCCTTCCCGGGGCGAGGGCTGGGCGGCGTGAGCGGTCCCGGGGCTGCGCGCCCCGAGCCTGGCGTCCGCTCGTCTCCAGCCAGGCGCGCACCGCCGCTGCACCTTCGCGCCTTCTCCCGTCTCTGCAGCCTTCCGAAGGGCAGACGGACGCTTTTATTTTTGGAAACTTCCCCCTGTTTTTTCGTCTCTTTTATCTACACCATGCCCCCTCCTCGGAGGGACAGCTCAGCCCCCTCATTACGGGAGAGGGAGAGAGGAATTCCAGCAACACCCACTTTGGCACCGGGAAGCGAGCGGGCGGCGAAGGGGGGTTAACCCGTGAGGAGCTGGGGGCAGCGCAGGCCTGACCCGACGGCTGGCAGGGGAGACGACGCCCGCCGGGACAGGGGCGCCTGGTCACCTTTCTCTCGTCCCGGTCAAGCTCGAACTGCTGACCTGACCCGAATTTATCTCCTGCCTCTGGCCTCTGGAACAAACTCCCGGTTGCATGACCAAGGCTGCGGCCTCGAAGGTCTGAAGGAGGCCAGGAGAGGTATTAAGATCGGCGTGACAGGGCCGGGCCCCGAGGGACGGACGCCCGGCCCCTTCGCTTCCCGCCCCCGCCACTGGGGGCGCCGGCTCCGGGGTGGGCTTAGCGCGGGGCAGCGCGGGGCAGCCGGGGAGCTCGCCTCCCCCTCGCCGCCGCAGGGTGCGAGCGCGCTGGAAGGTCGCCGGGGGGCGCGCGCCCTCTAGTGGAGCTGGCTGCGTCCTCCGCCACCTTGCAGCCGCTGCCCGCCGCCTGCGCTCCTAGAGCCTAATCCTTTTCCTGCTGCGTCAGGGTCCAGGCCAGGCCTGGGGCGGCGATGGCGGATCCTGGAAGAGATACCACCTTTTTAACAGAGGTATAGACATAGAGGCTCTTGAATAAGGTCACACCAGGAAACAGCATGTGTCCAAAAAGGGTGAGGATGGTGTTTTTCTTTGCCCTCAACTCTACAAAAGTGGGTCAGATCTCCGAGCCTCAGCTTGAGGACTCCCGTGCTTTTCCTTGCAGTCCTGAGGCCGCCTTGGTCCCGGAGGAACCAAGGGCACGAGCCCGGGGCCCTCTCCTCTCGCCTGCACATCCCTCCACTAATGAGCACATGGGGACCCACCCTCCTGGCCTCCTGCTTCAGGCTCAGAAGCCCGTTCTCTGGACTACCCTGGGGTATGTCCCAGAGGAGGGGTGGGAGGGAATCGATGAGTCTCTGATTTTTTTTTTTTTTTAAAGATTTTATTTATTTATTTGAGACAGACAGAATGAGAGCACATGAGAGGGGGGAGGGTCAGAGGGAGAAGCAGGCTCCCCACCGAGCAGGGAGCCCGATGCGGGACTCGATCCCGGGACTCCAGGATCATGACCTGAGCCGAAGGCAGTCGCTTAACCGACTGAGCCACCCAGGCGCCCGATGAGTCTCTGATTGACCTGGTGTGTGCTCACACCTTGAGTTGGCAGCGAGGGGCGGGGTGCAAGAATGCTGACTGCCACCCATCTGACTACCTCCAACAATGAGCCCATCATTCATGCCATTCATGCCATAGCCCCCTGCCCTCAAGCCTGAAGGCCTGGCCCAGTGCATTTCCACAGCCTACTGTTTCCCAGGAAGGAAGAGTGACAGAGCAGGCAGGAGGGCACCCGTGGATAACGTCCCAAAGGATGGGCACCGTTAATACCTAGTGCTGGCCTATGGCCTCTACTCCTGACTCTGGCCAACAAAGCCCCGCATGACTGGGCCCCCTCTCTTGCAGTGTTGTCTCTGCTCTTTGAACAAGCCACACTAATGTCCACTGCCCTCTGCCTGGAGCACTACTCTCCAAGATGCTTTACAGAATTAGCTCTTCATGGCTCCCCCTCTCAACTCAAATATCACCCGCCTCCTGGAGTGGCCATCCCTGAGCCTCCAATCTAGAGCAGTCCTCCCACGTGTGCCACGACACCCTGCTTTACCTTCCTTGCTTGAATGCCCAGTTGAAAGTATCTTTTTTATTTGTTTACCGGTGTAACTGACTTACTGAATGGGCTGAACTTGGAGAGGGACAATGAGGGAAGAGCTACATTTTTCTCCCCTCACTGCCTTCAACCATGGTATGGTGAATTTCCCTTCTCCACCTTTAATGACATCTCAAGCAGAGTCCTTGGCTTGCCCATCCCCGCCGCCACAAGAACAGTCTCATTTCTGTAATTAAGACCAATTTTCAGGCACTAAAAAGTCTGGTCCTGTCCAAATCAAAACCTCATCCAGTTTAATCAATCTCGCATCCAATTTAATACTCCTCCCCTCCCCCCATGGGCCTATCCCCTGGCCTGAGATCCTGTGGTGGGGAGAGTAGGGCATGGTCTGTTTTTGTGTTGTTTTTTAAGATCTACTTGTTTATTTGAGAGAGAGAGAGCAGGGGGAGGCGCAAAGGGAGAGGGAGAGAATCTCCAGCAGACTCCCCACTGAGCACAGAGCCCGACCCGGGGTTCGATCTCATGATCCAGAGATTATGACCCGAGCCAAAATCAAGACGTAGACACTCAACTGACTGAGCCACCCAGGTGCCCCTCGCATGGTCTGTTTTTCTAATCTCCCTTTTCTGCTGTGGCTCCCCTTGTCAGGATTGGAGGAGAGGTGTTAGAGGGACAGTGACAAAATCCTATGTGACAGGTGCCCTTGGCTGGCAGGTGCCAAGTGTTCGTTCTTCCATGGACACATCTGTGGGCTTTTGGGAGTCTCCCTGCAGGACCTCCACCCTGCACTGCTGTAGCAAAGCACTCTCTGGCCGGCCTCTTGCAGACTCCTGTATTCCTTGCCTCTTGTGGGAATTGCCCGTCCGTGCCAGCAAAGCACTGGTGACTTGGCTGCTCCTCACTCTGCCATAGAAGCCACTCCGGCCAGGATCCACAGTCAGAGTTCTCCAGATGGGAAGTGCACACAAGTCTCTTCATTTATGCCCATCCTCAATTCCTGAAGACACATGTTGGGTTCCCAGAAATTCCTCGCTGTGCCTTGGGCCATTGGGGCGTGCTTGCAACCTCCAGCAACTCAGCCTCCGTGGAGAGAAAGTTGTGGGGAGTCATGCTAGTCTCCTCTTCTTGGAAGCCCCCAAGCTCTATGACTTGTTCTTTTGGGGCTTGGTTTGCACTGAGGAGTGCCCTTCGGGGAAATCTCAGCCTTGCCTACTAATGCAACAGTTCCCTACCTCAACAACTTTCTTCAGTCCCTTTCATGTATAGACTGGAAGCCAGGGATGTGGTGCAAGTGTTGTTGAACCAGTTCTGCCTTTAGGAAGGTGTCTAGTACTTCCCTTTGGAATGTGAGAATATTTAATCCTTATTGTTCTAGTCTTTGCAGCCTCAGCAGAAATTCAAAGATCACAGAAGAATCCTGTTCAACAACCTATAAAATCATGTCTGACTTCCCAAGCCACAGTGAAAGCTCCAAAGGAATAGATATCTTGTCTGCCTGGCTCACCACTGTTTCCCCAGAACCTAGAACAGTGCTTGACTCCAACAGACAACCCAGAAATATGTGTTCAACGGTTGGCTAAGTAAATGAATGACAGAATGATTCCATCAAGTAAAAAGGGCTGGTATCATTAGACCCACTTTAGGAGAGAAAAAAACTGAGTTTCTGGTGGTAATTACTGGTCCAAGTTCACGTGCTTGCTGCCTCCAAGGCTGGCCCTAAGGATCTCCTTGAATCCTGTGCCTTGTGTTTTGAGATGAATGCCATTGGAATTTCCAGAATGTTCAGTTTTCTCCCTGAGACACTGCACCTTCCCGGCTTTGGGAAAGCCTCAGCTCCACACTTACCCCCTTGCCTTGTTATCCACCCCACTCCTCAGCTCGGGGGAACCCCCCTCCTCTTCCCACTACCTGCCCCATTCCTTGAGGAGCTCTCCTCTTCATCCCTCAACGCTCACCTCAGAGCGCCATGAGCTTCCCAAGGCCAGAAACCTTGGCGTCATCTTTGTCCCTGAGCTATTTTTTCCTCCCATGTGTCCAAGTCATTATTACTGCTCCATCTCCTCCGTCTGCACGTCTGGAAGTCTGCCGCCCATTCAGCCTCTCACCGCTGGCCTGGGCCAAAACCCTCATGCAGACACACTTCCCTCACCACTAGGCGCCCCGCCCACTCCTCCATGAGTACAAGTGGTCCTTGGAAATTCCCACCCTGTTCTCCTGGGGCTGCAGCCTGGCTAATCTACTCTGAGGACTCTCCTTCTGCCCCACCCCGGTGCCATCCTCCCGTCCTGGCTCCCGTTTACCACCCATCACTCCCTCCCCTGTAACTGTTGGGACCTTGATACAGCTCTTCAGAATCCCCAGTCCCAAACTTTTGTTTGTTTTTCTTTTCTAAAGCTGCCAAAATTTATGGAGCCTCCGATGGCCCAAGCACGGTGCTAAGCATGCTACATAAATTGGCTCATTTAACAAAATAAAGGAGGCATTATGATTTCCAGGTGGACAAAGGAGGAAACTGAGGCTGGGAATAGCTCCTGGCTTGTTGGTAAGTAGCGGAGGCAGGACTCAGACTTTGATCATTTACCACCCAAGCCCAAGCTTGTAAGCCTGCACCCTGTTGTTTTAACCCCGGGCTTGTGCCCCAGCAGCCCTCCTCACAGCTGAACGGGGACCTTTCCCAGCCCCTCTGCTCCTGGCACACCTGAGTCCCTCCACTGCACATTCCGCATTCCCTCTTCCCTGCCTGCAAGCCCACAATCAATTCCCTGGTGGTATGGAGCTACCAGAATCTTCTCTCCCCCTCTACCCATCTTGCCCAGTACAAGAAGGGGGGCGAGCTGTTTCTGGCATGGCCCCTGACTCACCCTGGGTCACGTCCTCACCCCTGATACCAGCTTCCTCCCAGTGAGGCACAGAGTGCTGCCAAGCCTACTCACCCATCTCTTGGGGCTGGGGAAGGAAATCATCTCTGGAGAGCCCTGCAGAGAGAGGCAGAAGGGATTGATAAAGGATTCCTGTGGAAAAAGGTTTGCCGGGACACAGGCACCACAACAGGGGATGGTGAGATGCTGGACACCCAAGGCAGCCTATTCGCTTTCCTGTGTCTTGTTGGGATAATGCTGGCAGCCACATGGCTACCAGAACCTAAACTAAGTTGGTAAAAAAGGACCAAAAACAAGGGATGAATTTCTGTTCCTTTTGCTGAGACCCAGACTTCCAACAGAATTCCAGGGATTTTTCTTCCTTGGAAGTGACTGGACCTCCAGCCCCGAATTCCTCTCCCCAGGAGAGCTTGTTCTCCTGCTCAGAACAAATAACACATTTCCTGGTTAATCAGTGGGCAGAAGAGCTGAAGGAAGGCTGATTGGGCCCCTGGCCTTCCCTACTGGAGCAGCTCGTGGGCTCAGATGTTCTTGTGCAGACCCAGGGGAGAGCTGGGACCTCGGCAGTGCACAGCCTCAGCCTCCAGTTGGGAAGGTAGGGGCTGCACCAAGAGGCCCCAGCTCACTCGTGCATGAGGCCTTCAGGGCCCACGAGGGCTGCCAAGACCCTTCCACCTCAGACACCGCGGCCTGGCATCCCCCCAGAGCTCACCACGCCCCCCCGCCTCCGCCTTGGTCGTCCAGTGTGGTCTTCTCCAGCTGGGCATGGACGCTTCTGGCTTCTCTGAACTGAGCTCAGCTCTCAGCTATTTTCACATCTGAAAATGGAGACAAAGCTGCTCTTCTTGCCACCCCCACCTTCAAGGCAAATTAGATAACCTGTGTGTGTGTGTATGGGGGGGGCGGTTAATTACCGCGACTCCATCTGCCAGCTGGAATTTCTTGAGTGCTTAAGAAGCACCAGGTGCTGTGCTAAGTGTTTCCCAGACATTCTCTCATTTAATTCTCATAGCAATCTTAGGAAGGAAGGACTCCTAGTTCATCACGTAGCACCTGAGGAAATGAAGGCTCAGAGAGGTAAAATGGCTTACCCGCAATCACAAAGCTAGTACGTGGCTACACTAGGGTTCATTCCCTGGCTTGTCGGGTTCCAGGCATGACAACGCCAGCCTCCAGAGGAGCATTGCTCTGGAGATGCGCCTCCGGCTGCAGGTCCCTGGGAACTGGGAGCATTCCTAGCTGTGTGTGGTGTGGTGGGGGGTGCCGAGGGCCACTTGGTGAGCCCCCACCAAGCACGTCCCACCCTCCTCGGGTCTGTTTCTGGCTAGGTCCGATTTTTGGGTCAAGGGCAGATAAAAGTCATCACGGTGAGTCTCAGTGAATCTGATTCCCTCCCGTGGAGGAGAAGGAAGGAAATGGAGCTTACCCTTCATCAAATCGGTTTCAATTGCTGAATGAAGGCTCATCTCACCCCTCAGCTTTTCTCTTTGGAAAAGAAAAGTGCCATAAATAGAACATCCGCGTGCCCCTGTGTGGTAGGCATTGTAATTCCCATGTCACAAACCCAGAGGGGTGAGGACTCTTGCTCAAGGTCAGACAGCTAGGAGTCGAGCCTGAGTCAATGAGAAAGTCTGAACGGCTCCCAAGCCCATGCTGCTTCTGCTGTAGCACACTAGCCTTGCCCCAGGATGCCTCGCAATGATGTGAAAATGCAGCTCACTCTCTCTTCATTTCCGGTCTTTGATACAAGAGTGGGCTGATCTGAAAGCTCTGTGCATTTAGCTAAAGCTCAGACAACATTTCCCACTTACCTGCATAAATTCCTTCAGCCTCTGACTGGAGTAGAATCTTCTAGAACTCCTGGGGGATGAAACATAGCTTCTCTCCAAGCAGAGTCTGTGAAGACCTGAGCAGGGAAACCATGGGAGCCGTCTGGAAGGCCTCCTTCTTCTAATTCCTTCTGGTGAGACCACGGGGGCTTTGAGTGCTCCATAGCCAGTAGGAGTGAGGGGGATTTGGATGGGGAGGGTCTCATACTGTATTACCCATTCAAAATCCCCAGGGAGAAAGTGCTGTGGGCCAAAGGACTGTGCCGACCTATCCAGGATTCCGGACCGGCTGTGCAGGAATTTGAGGACAAGGCAAGTAGGAACAACTTCCCTTGGCTATCGTTGGGGTCTCCCAGCCTGTCCCCACCTTGGCTTCCTGCTGCAATGCAGTGGTATCCCTTATACCCCAAAGGATAGGAGTTGTGGGGACAGAGAACAAAAGCTGCTGTAGGGTGTTTCCCAGAATAAGCTTTTCCCAGGAGGCCTGTAAGCAGCCTCCTGTGCATTCTTCATCATCAAGACAAAGAAAGGGGGTAACGCCTTCAGCTATCATCTCTTGACCTCCATTGCCCCCTGGATCATACGCTGAGAATGGAGACACCTAGTGAGGTTTTCCCTGGTGACCCCAATACTCTAGTCTCTAGGACCCCAAGCCCTTGGGGTCAGGCTGGGATCCTAAAACTTGTCAAGACAGGGCACAGACACCAGGCTGGGGAGTGGGACAGGAGGTGCTGCCAGACCCCAGTGGGCCCCAGCCTGCCTGCATGACTCATTCCTTGTTTCCGTCCACTCTGGTCTGAGTGCCTTGGCCCAGGGGCCTCCAGGAGGTTGTAACACAGGCTGGCCCCTTGCCCATCAGGGCTCAGCAGACAAAAATTAAAGATCTCACTGCTCAGGAACTCACACAGACAGCAGGGGCATGCTCTGTGCTCTGCCTCATCAGACCAGACCTCAGGCCAGAGGGGATGGATGGCCAAGGGAGGAAGGAAAGGCGTCTCCGGCTCCACCCCCTCCTCTCTATCCCTCACATCCAGTCATACAGCCCTGGCCACTGCCCACTCTCTTCTCACTCCTCAGGCCATCGCCTGAAGACGATGGTACCGCGCGCACTCCTCAGCTCCCCTGCTCTCCTCCCCATCTCTGCCTGAAGACAACAGTGGAGGAGAAACAGACTTGTAAACAACTCCTCGGACTTTTTCTGGCAGCAGAGTTCTAATCAGGCCTCTCACCTGCTCAACAACCCTCAATGACTCCCCAGGGCCTCACAAATCAAGCCCCAAACTTCTGACTAGGCCTGGCACACAAGCTGGTCTCATATATGTCCCCTCATGTACGCTGGTATTCAGCACAGTCCTACTTGCTCAGAATTCCCCCTAGTTTCCTCTCCCATGTCTCCTCACCCAAATACTTAGGCTCACACCATTTTCTTCACCTGGAATATTCTTCTTGCCCCTGCCTGCCTGTCTTTTAACTCCTATCTCAAAGGCCACTGCTTCCGAGAAGAAGACTTCCCAGAAGCCCCACCCCACCCCAAGTCTGCAAAGCTGGCTCCCTCCACTGAACCCCAGTAGCTCCCGATGTACCCCCACCCCACCCTGCATGACTAGGCTGCAGCTGCCAGTCCTCCAGGGTGGGAAATACCTGGGGCTTTGGAACCCCACTCTGTACTATCACTCACCAGCTTTGTGTCCTGGTTACAGTGACTTAACCTCTTTGAGACATGGTTTCCTTACCAATAAAATAGAAACTGTAATACATGCCTTTCTAAGCATCGCATCTCAATAGGGCAACTGTATTTACCAACCACACAACACTCCAGACACAACTGAATGGACCAGAGATAAGCGCCTGACCCAAGGGAGCCTTTTCATTGGCGGTCAGGGACCTAAGACTTCTGCAGTCTGACTTGAATGCAGACATCCTTGGTTACTGGAAAAACCAGATTCTGTTTTAAACATTTGAACTTGGGGCGCCTGGGTGGCTCAGTTGCTTAAGCGACTGCCTTCGGCTCAGGTCATGATCCTGGAGTCCCAGGATCGAGTCCCACATCGGGCTCCCTGCTCAGCAGGGGGTCTGCTTCTCCCTCTGCCCTCTTCCCTCTCGTGCTCTCTGTCTCTCATTCTCTCTCTCTCAAATAAATAAATAAATTCTTTAAAAAAAAAAACAAAACATTTGAACTAATAGACTTTTCTTCAAAAACCAAGCCCTGGGATTAAAACAGAATAGGCAAGTCCTAGTTCTTGAGAGCTTGCAGTCCAAGGGGGGTTCATATAACCATAGAACATAAAGCCAGGCAGGTGGTGTGACTTGTGCAGGGTCACACAGCTAGTCAGAAACACAGAGAGGGCTAGGACTCGGGTCTCTGGACCTGGGTTTAGTTCAGGGTGGTTGGCCCCTGCTCCATGCTCAAAAGCATGTGGCCCTGAGCAGATTGCCTGAAGAAGACTAAGGAGCCCCACAAGGGGCTCCTCCCTTCAAGGCAGTGGTTAAAAGACAAGGTCAGATCATGGCAGGGAGCACAGACCCTGGTTCTAGTCCCCCATGTGTTCCCCGTGTCCGCCTGGGCCTGCCTGCTTCCTCTTCCAGATGTGAGTTTCCTCATCTCTAAAAAGAGAGGATTTTACTGGATAAACTCAAATTCAATGTCAACACTAAGATTTTGATTTGAGGAGCAGACAGACAATGGGTGGGTGTGGGTCCAAGAAGTGTAGGATCCACAGAATGTGAATACTGGACGGGACCTCCCTGAGAGATCAGCCAGCCCACTCCTTCAATTTACAGTTGAGGAAACTGAGGCCCAAAGGGGGGGGGTGCTTGCCCGAGGTCACATGAGTGGTTATTTGGCAGCCCCAGCTCTTGAACCACGGTCTCCTGACTCCCAGACCTCTCAACTCTTTCTCTTTCAACTCCCTCAAGAAGCTGGGAGCTATTTGGCTGCCTCAGCCAGGAAAGCCCAGAGTGGCTGTGCATGTCAGCAGCAGGGCCTCAGAGCCTGGGAACATCTCTGACAGGGTAGGCGCAAGAGCCAAAGCTGCTGGTGGGGAGGGATGGGGCTGGGGACCAGGGAGGGCGTATTGAAGATAAGCTGTCAGCATCTCTCCTCTTCCAGTTGGCAAGAAGGAACAGAGAAGGGTCCATGATGGTTGAAGGAAAACAGCCCCCCTTCTGATTGAGCCATTGCTCCATGGAGGGCTGGCGTCTTCCTCTCTCTCTCTCTCTCTCTCTCTCTCTCATACACACACACACACACACACACACACTATCCACCCCTGCCTAGCTGCTGAAAACTGTCGCTCCACATCCTCGGTCTCAAGATGTGTATTGATATTCTCAGGGGCACTCCTTGGTGGGGCCTGGAATTTCTTTCACTGTCAGAGAAGTCTCCAAGTATCTGCCTACCTCCTAAGGCTCACCATGTCATGATGCCCTCCAATTCTACAAACACTTTTGAGCATCTAATATGCAGCCAGGCACTGTGCTAGGCACTGGGGTTGGGTGGGACATCCTCACGGCCAATGTCATGGTGAATGCTTCCATAGGGGAATTAAGAGTCACCTGGGCTCACTGAAGAAGAACTGCTTACCATGCAGGGTGGCGGTTGGCCAGGAAGAGTTTCTCAGAGTCTTGATTTTGACTTGAATCTTGAAGGCTAAAGGAGAGGTCGCCATGAAGGGGAGGGGAATGTGGCACGGACAGGCACTGCATAGGCAAAGGCAGGGGTGTAAGATGAAGTCTGGGTTATTGGGGGGAATTTCAAGTAGCTCATGTGGCTGGAGTTTCGATAGAAACAGAGGTTATAGAAGGGGAGATGAGGCTGGAGGGGTAGGATGGGATCAGTTCATGCGGGGCTTAGCTCTAGTCCGCTCCTTTTTTCAGAAAGATGAACCTGTTCCCCACATCCAAGTCATCACCCTGGAGGGCACAGACTATTTATCTGGAATTCTGAAACTGATAATCCTCTGGTCAATAGCAGGGGGTCATTTGTGTGGGGAGGAAGCAGCATACTCGTAATCTCTGTCAACACCCCCCAAAGCCACCCCAAGTAAACACCAATTGACATAAAGCCCATGAGCCTGCTGTGCTTAAAAACAATCCTCCAGCCCTGCTTCTAACCAGTCTGTTCCCCCACATGGCTCCACTTTTAGAGAAATTGTGGAGCTGCCAACTCAGTAGGTTTGCCCTGTCCCCGGGCTCCTACTGCCATGGCTCACCAACCCTCTGCAACCCTTTCCCCAAGTACTCTCCTGAATTCCCCACTCTCCCTGGACCCAGATTTTCCTGGAGACTCAGCCCCCCTTGTCAGTCTCCTGTCCCCCAGTCTCGTTCTTGCTGGGCCTCAGATTCCTCTCCAGTCCCATAAGTTCATGTTGTTGAAGTTAGGTCATGCCTAAGGATCATAATACGCATTTCCAAACCCCACTCTGCAGCCTCCGGCTTAGCTTTGCCCCATCGATAGATAAGCCATATGTGCTTGACGTCAGAGAGCTGGGGAGGGCCTGGTGTATCTCAGCCACCATTCATTAATCATCCTTTTGTCAGGCATCAGGGTTGCCAAGAAGAAGGCTTAGCCCCTATCCACAAGGACCGTCCAGCATAGTAGGAAAGGCCGCACCACCTATCACGGTCAGTGCTGTGATTGAGATGAGTTCAGGGTGCAATGTGAATATAAGGACAGAGCCCTCCCGCCTGGGAGTATGGGACAATTGGTCAGGGAGGATCCTACCTACGATGCTGTCTGAGCAGGGCCTGGACGGCAGGCCAGGTTTCAGCCTGGTGAAGGAGGGCAGGATAGTGAGAGGTAGGCACAGCAGTGAATACCAGAACCAAGTTTGCAAAAATTAAACCTCGCACCAGAGTCTACCCCATTTCCTTTTTCAATGGAGTTACCAATCAGAGAAATTTTTGCCCGAGTTTTGAATGGTAGTGAAATGAAATTCAAATGAGAGTCAATGTGCATAGGCCGGGGGAATGTGGAGCCTACAGTAATGTGGCTAGATATGTGTGTAGATGTTGACTCCATCATTCCTCACATTGAGGGATAGGTGAAGATTGCTGGGATCTACAGTAGCCCATGAGCCAGGGCTGGCACCTTCACAAGACTTCTCACAATTT